GAAATAAACTATTGATCACTCATAAAAGTTTTATCATGGAAGGATTTAAAGAAGGATATTATTTGTTAATGCGGTATTTAGCGCTACTTCACTGGGTTTATTTGACAAATGTTTAAAAATAGATATTGCTGCCTTTACCTGTAAGCAAAAATAGGCTTTTTGTTTTGGTACATTCTGTAAAAGGGACCTTATTTATGCGTATAACAATTATATCAAACTTTTTTGGCTGTAGAACTTAGAGTAATCATTTATTAATAAACAGATTCTGATAAAATATTAATGAAAAATATATCAACTAATGAATTGGCATTAAAAGCAGCTGCAGCCAAAGCGCTTTAATTGAATCAGTCCATGAAAATAATAACCATCCTGTATCTGCTAATAGGATGTGCAAACATAATAAATAGGAAATCACAAAATATATGACAAGAGTAATTATACGTGATAATAAATAGATGGTGAAAATTGCAGCTCTGCTTTATTTGTATTTCTGATTCATACTGAACAACTTTAATGCAGTCCCGTCAAAGAATCCTCGCTGGGTCTAAAAGGACCCAATCAGAAAGTGAGTTATGTCCTTTTAAACAACTTTGCTGTTCATGTAATTAGCTGTTTACTTGTGATTTATTGTCATCATCAACCATCCTAATGTTTCCTGACAGGTTGCTGTGACATATTCCAGTAGTTTGTGCTTCTGAAAGCTTTGTTGATGCACTTTTAAATTAGTTGTCGTGCAGCGTGTTGCAGAGCATCCATCCCCAAAGGCAGCCAAGGAGATAATCTATTCTCAATTGGATTCATTTTGGCTTTAGGAATGGAGACATATTTTATTTGCAACTGTAACTTGTTTTTTTTTTCACAAAATAAGTTTTGTTGTTTAAGTTTAATAAAATATCACAGTCTACTGACATGCCTCAATGTCTTTGTTTTTTCATGACAATGGTTTTGGAATTTAGGGTCTTTTAAATTGTCTTTAAAGGCTTTTAAAGCTGTTAACTTTCTTTGGTGCAGTTTCTCCCTACAGCCCTGCATTTGCAGTTTAGTAGTAACACATTTGTTTGGTAAATGAAAGAGTCCTCTGACTAGACTTTTGAGCTCAACTTGGACTCCCTTACTCCCCAGTTCAAACTCCATCCCTCTCCTTATAGTCTTAAGGTTTTGGGAAAGGTTTTGGACATGCACTGTGAATGATTACTCATGGTTTTCATTAAAAAAAACATGGAAAACTGCCCTAATTGTGCTTTAGAATATTTTCTTTGTTCTGATAAAGGAATGTATTTTCTCTGATGTCTGTTATCTACACTGGATTCAAATCATAAAATGGGGGAAGAAATTAGTATTCAGATTTTAAACTCACAAAGTGGAACCAGTTTGTTAGAGACTTCAAAAAACAAAACAAAACAAAAAGAGCAACCAGGAGAAAGAGTTAAAACTAAACCTGTAGGCAAATGAACAAAACCGCCTACAAACTCCCCCATGATCTCTTTGTCCCTTAAGCAGAAAATGGCGCTTCAGTTTGTGCTTGAGCATTAAACATATTACTGGCTCTTTTAACTTTGTGGTTTAATGCTTGGACTTCCACCTCCAGAATAACTCCCATATTTGCAACCTCCACGCTCCACTGCATCTTCCACTAAGGATCCAGGAAGCATGTATGATCTTTCCTACATGCCATCTGATAACATGCATCGATCGTGCCTTTGACATAGGTGAGATCACCATTTGTCCAACAGAGTTTAGTCATTAGTCAATAAACATTCTCGTTTGGTATTTAGCCACACCTTATCTTTAACCTGCAGTTTTTAAGCATCAACAATCACAGGTTTAATATTTTGTACTTTCAAAGAACATCCCTCTAACATCTTGTTTTAAATCGACTATGACAGATTCTGCCAAGTTTATTGTAATCATTGTTTAAAACAGTCCATATCAGCATTTGATTTTCTTTATAAATTTAACTAACAGAGAGAGAAGGAAAATAGGAAGTGATGCTTTGCTTCCCGTATTTAAAGCTTCCTTTAAATACTGGATCCACGGCACCAGATGAGGAGGGACAAGAGAAACTTATAATTGGATAAAGTCAGTTTTAAGTTTGGGTTTTTCTGCTGTTTATTATATGTTTTGTAATGTAAGGGCTAAAGTGTATGATTACAGTTGGTTTTAAGAAAATAAAGATTTTATTAATCAGCCTTATCTGTTATGTAGAATATTCCACCCCAGCCCATCTTGTTAAAAAGCCTGAAAGTGTTTGAGCAAAGATAATTCAGTTGTTCAGGAGGAGAGAACCTGGTTGCCTTTCATGTTAAATTTGATTGCTTAAAGTTAAACTTTTTGGGTTAAGTCTGGGGTTATTTTTTTATTTTGTTATATTTCTATGTTAACTAACCGCCTTGCACAACTGCCAACTGTCCTTCTTCAGCCCCTTTGGAAAAGTTGTACCCATCTATTTTTCTTTTCTTAATCAACATAAACACAATGATTGCTCATTAAATTCTGGTAGCTTTTAAAAGTATTAATGACTAAATAGGTTGTTGTTTCTTAATGTTTTTATCTTTTTGTTTACTATTGTTGTTTGGGTCTTACTATATTGTGACACCCTGAGTGCTCTTCATTGATTATTTAAATGCAAACTTACAATGCCCTCTGAAGTCCGGAAAGTGGGAGGAGCCTCAGTGTTTCCGGTGGGAACGCCCCTCTGACAGGCGGGAAGTAAACAGCAGTGGAGTGAGGGGCTGAGGGCGTAGCTGCATTTCAGCAGAAACTTCTTTATGCATCGAAGAGGAGCTGCGGTGTCCTACTAGCCCTGGTACCATTAGTCCTGTTGAGTTTTTGTATCTGAAGTTTTTTGCTTTGGGCTGACACTGTACTGTGTGTTCCGCCGAGCAGAAGTAGCACGCGCAGCTGTGCCTTTGGTTTGGGTTCCTCTGTGTGGATTGGTGGAAAAACGCGGACTGGAGTTTGTCGTCCTAATTGTTTTTTGTCTGAAGCTGACTGGATTGGACTGACAGCGCTGATACGTCAGTTGGATATTTTTGCTGGTCCCTTCTTCTTCTTTAAAT